TCCCTGAGGAATTAACCAAAGAATGGATGTGACCTACTTTCTCGCACTAGGCCCATAGCCTTAAAACTTATGACATTTCAAGTGCTTATCCAAATGCTTTTTAAAGGTTGTGAGGTTACCCACATTAATTACCCACCCTTGTAGTGCTTTCCAGATCCCCACCACTCTCTGGGTGATTTTTTCCCTCAAATCGCCTCCAAAATTTTATGCTCTTCACCTTAAAAGTATGCCCCTTTTCATTGACCCTTTGACTAAGCTGCTTTCCATTAATTCTGTCCATGCCTGTCATAATCTTATACACCTTTATCTGGTAACTTCCCCTCCACGCCTGCCCAAACTTCATTGCACCAAAGTAAACAACCCAACCTTATTCAGCATCTCTTCATAGATAAAGTGCTCCATCCCAGGCAACATCCTGGTGAATCTCCCCTGCATCCCTTCCAGTGCAATCACATCCTATAGTGTGAAAACTAGAACTACAGACAGTACTCCAGTTGTGGTCTAATCAAAGTCCTGTACAGTTCCAACATAACCTCTCTGCACATATATTAGAGGCAAGTGTCCAATATGCCTTCTTAACTACCCTATTAACCTGCTATGTACATGTTCTTTCTGTCTACAATCCTTTCTGTGTTCTATCTTTCTGGTTGCTCACAACAATCGAGCTACTGTCCATACCCAGCATTCCCTCAGAGCTGTAGGAGCAAATTACTGCAGATGCTGGAATCTGTCCTGAAAACAGCCAATGCTGGAAATCACAGCATGTCAGACAGCATACATGTGGAGAGAGCAAGCTGATGGAACTGCTCCAAGGTGGATTGTGAAGTGCTTATGCCCTCTGCCAATGTAGCATTGGCATCTAAGGGAGGTTTGAACAAGCAAATGGCATGCTGGGATCACACAAGTACTCATGTTGGAAATTCTAGGCATCTAGTTTCTATTGGTGGCGGGGAGGGGGGGTGCGTGGGGTGGTTCGTGTGTGAGAACGTGAGCCTGCATATTAATGATGTGAAATGAATTTGTTATTAGTGTGATAATGGGCAATAATCCCTGTTAATAGGCCTCTCGTCACTCACAGGCAAGAATCCTGTCTCCCCTCCCCCGACCTCATCCCAAGACCAGCATCCCCTCTCGTCCCCGCCTCCTTAACCTGTCCGTCTTTTCTCCCACCTATCTGACCCTCCCTCCTCACTGACCAACCCCCATCCCAACTCCCTACCTACACTCACCTTTACTCGCTTCATCCCCGCTTCCTTGACCTGTCCGTCTTCTGAAAAGGAGAATTGCAAAACAGCGACCAAGATTCTAGATTTAGTTAAGTCTGAAATTAGTATGATTAGTCTGAACCTGCTAACAGTAAGATGGGCAAGTGTATTCATTGGAAAAACATCATGAGATTGATGGGAATTATTTGAAAGAAAATTAAATACCAGGGTCCGAATAACGGTGCAGAGGGCAGGGATGAGGTGAGTGAGAGGCATTGAGTGGACATGGTGCATAGTTATTATCCATGAACTTTGATGAGAGGTGTGCTCAGTGGTAGAGTCAGTGTAAGCAATAGCCCTTTGAATGTGAAATAGCAAGGAGAAGATGGGGACACTTACCCCTGCAGAGCACAGAAGATCACTTACCTTCATCCTGCACTGTTGGGCATTTCAAGGGACACAGTACAGACCCAGGCTACAATTTGTGAGCAGGCTGCCTTGGTCTAATAGTGTGGACTCCTGCGGCCTTGAGATGGAAAACTGACTCCCTTCCTTTCCATCTCCCCATCAATTAATGCCTCCAGGTCCTTGTCAACGAAGTGATGAGTAAGGCTTCCTTGCCTCCAGGCTATGTCCTGAATCTGGAGGATCAAGTGTAAGGGGTCATTCCTGGCTTGCAGCATTTGAAGTAGTGGGCAGCTGGGCTTTAAATATGGTGCTAGAGGCATGAAAGCTGGAAGATCTCAGCAGTAGTGAGTGCTCCTGCCCCTGAGGCTGAACAAAAGGCACACAAAAGCCTGGTTGCATAGATGAGGTGAACAGTGAAAGGCAATGTGAGGTAGATCACTCTGAGCCATGGCAGACACAGGTGTAATGTATCCCACTCAACAAAACACCGAGAATGGGTAAGTTCTGCGAAAAGTGTTTGCAGAGACAGCATCTTCATAATCTTTCAAAACTATAAGATTTTATCTAGTCATAACCTTAGTGTTCATGATCTAAGTATTTTTATGTGTGGAGTTAAGGTGGTTTGTTCCAATTTAGATAATTTCCAGTAACATGTTTTTATCAATTTAAAAATAAAGAAGAGAATTTGTTATCATCCACGTGCCTCAGACATTTTAATGAAATGTCTCATACATTATCATCACACGAAAATTAGCTGCAGAGGAGAAAAAATGTACAATTTCAAAATGTATTGATTTCAATCTCTTTAATAGCAAGCTTTAGCTGAATTAATGTTTTAGTTGACTTGAAGGTCTGGTAAAAGCAGAGGATTCTTAGTAAACTGTGAGGTTTCTTGTAGTTGAATTGCTGAGAGGTTAATACTCAAGTGAGACAACAAGGTGCAGGGCTGGATGAACACAGCAGGCCAAGCAGCATCATAGGAGCAGAGAGGCTGACGTTTTGGGCCGAGACCCTTCATCAGAAAAGGGGGAGGGTAAGGGGATTTTGAAATAAATAGGGAGAGAGTGGGAGGCGGATAGAAGAGGGATAGAGGAGAGGACAGGTGGAGAGGAAACAAACAGGTCGAAGAGGCGGGGATGGAGCCAGGAAAGGTGAGTGTAGGTAGGGAGTTAGGAAGGGGATAGGTCAGTCCAGGGAGGACGGACAGGTCAAGGGGGCGGGATGAGGTTGGTCGGTAGGAGATGGAGGTGCGGCTTGAGGTGGGAGGAGGGGATAGGTGGGAGGAAGAACAGGTTAGGGAGGCAGGGACGAGCTGGACTGGTTTTGGGATGCGGTAGGGGGAGGGGAGATTTTGAAACTTGTGAAATCCACATTGATACCATTGGGCTGCAGGGTTCCCAAGCGGAATATGAGTTGCTGTTCCTGCAACCTTCGGGTGGCATCGTTGTGGCACTGCAGGAGGCCCAGGATGGACATGTCGTCTGAGGAATGGGAGGGGGAGTTGAAATGGTTCGCGACTGGGAGGTGCAGTTGTTT